ATATTATGAGAATTATTTTTCATTAGTAGCTTGGTATACGAAGTTAGGGCTAAGCTAAATCTCCAAAAATGGACGAATCTCATGAGGTGTTACTAGGATTATTGTCGAAAATGTCGATAAAAGGAAGGGCACCTAAATGGAGAATAAATGCGTTCTAATCATAATATGTTTCGTTTTCGTTAGACAGTACACTAAATTAGTAACTGGTTCATTTTTAGTTCTGAGCTATGTAAGTAGCTTGCTCTGATGGCAAGTTATTGACAGTTCAACCTACGAAATACCCACAGAGGATGTTTGGATATGGGAGAATAATAGTCTCTTAAACGTTTGTTTAAATAAACCAGTGTAAACGAAACACAAACTGTACTAAAAACATCCATAACTTTTATTAAAAGTTGTTGCTGAAATGAACAACCTGTCTGATAAATTAGTAATTATGCGACATTTTGATTCATTTCCTGAAGTGAGTGGGTTGACTGTCGTCAGTTCAGCAGAAAGGTTTTCCATTCCTTACCAACTTTAGAATATTCACTAACAGTTTAGAAAACTTTGAAAAAACAACAAATGTTTATTGTTATTTATCTTATACACTTTTTTACTTGTTAATGACCCTTTATTTTATTTTATTTCTTTTGTTATTATTTCACAATCGTTAGTTTATTTATTCTTAATGTTAATCACAAAACTGCACAGTGGGTTATCAGTGCTCTCCCCCACGATATAGAGCCCCGAATTGTAGTGTTTTAAGCCATCGAGCTGATCATAGAGTCAGCAAGACGGGGGAGGGCTCATAAAGTGTGCCGTTATATATTTTAATCCTTAGATCCATTTATGCTACATATAAGCGGGCCTGCTATAACCAGGTGGTTAGGGCGCTCGACTCGCAATCTGAGGGTCGCGGGTTCGAATCCACCTCACATCAAACATGCTCGCCCTTTCAGCCGTGGGGGCGTTATAATGTGGCGGTCAATTCGTTAGTAAAAGAGTACCCCAAGAGTTGGTGGTGGATGGTGATAACCAGCTGCCTTCCCTCTAGTCTTACACTGCTAAATTAGGGACGGCTAGCGCAGATAGCCTTCGTGTAGCTTCGCGCGAAATTCAAAAACAAACAATAAATATAAGTTGAATTTTACTCTTTACGAGATTTATGATAATATGTTTTAAATACAAATCTTGTACATGATAGGATTCTTGTTTTCATCCTTGTTTTAACCTTACTCTTCCCACTGGGTTGATGTGCTGTAATATCATATTTATACATTATTTCTACATCCTATAGAGTCACTGCTACTAGCTTTATCTGTTAGGAAAGATTCCCATTATCATTATTTGTACTCCATATTGCTGTGAAATGGTTGAAGTACGAATTGACGAACAGCGAAAGTTTAAGGGCTATCCATAAACTACTTGTAGATACGCAAAATTGGGATTTTCTGTAATTTTCAGTTCCTAAGTAAATTAGCTTGGTATAGCTTTAACATCCTAATTATAATAAATATTAGCTATTATGTCACATCTTCTCAAAACTTACAGTTAGCTCTAAATAATGTCCCCGGTGAGTCAGCGGTAAGTCTACGGACTTACAACGCAAAATTCCGAGGTTCGATTCTCCACGGCGAACATAGTGCAGATAGTGTATTTTGTAGCTTTACAATTAGAAAATAACATTTACAATAACATTTCTCAATAAACTCGATACCTGAGTTTCTGTAAGACTTAGACTATGAGCAAGCTGTTTTCTTTCAGCACCCACTACGTAATGATTCTTCTCGAAGGCATGTTCCAGTTTGAGTAGCTGAGAAGGAGAAAAGGCGGTCCTGATCCTCTTGGGCTTACGGAATGGGTGAAGGAGGAATTCAGAAGTGTCCACCTCTAAATAAAAAAATTCCATATTAATAAATGATGACTGTATGAACTTCAAGCAAAAATATTCAAGATCTATTTCAAGGTTTTAACACTAATATAAGTAAACATTACTCATATAGTTCTCCGAGTGGTTTTCTATTTTATAACATAGGCTGGCGAATTTAAACTTCATAAAAGTTGTATTGGTTTGAATAACGTATTTTCCATAATACAGCTATGCAGATTTCGAAAATTATATATTTTTTCTATAACGAAGGAATTTTTTACAAATTAGCAAAAAAAAAAAAACTCTTACTTAGATCAAATTATTAGTTCGTTTACCACAATGAATTTTTTTTATTATGTTTGTTAACAAAAATACAAACTGAAGGAAAGGGAAGAACATTGATGTCAAACGAATATGCATCCTGATTCGTCCTGATTTTTATGTGTGGGTGTGAAATATACGTCTTTTAGTCTCAAAACTACATGTTGTGGTCTTTTTTTATGTATTACGTTATGACATTTTGTGAATAATATGTACGTGATGGAGAAAAATGGATACCATTTTCGGATTCAGCCTACAGGATTTACTGTAGAACATGTAAAACGTTCAAGACAATAAAACCATCGTAGGCCTGTGTAATTGGACTGGTAAACAGCACTGATGAAAATAATTAAGTGACCTTATTCACAGCTATAAATTACTTCGAAGTAGGTCTCCAACAGCGATGCTATTAGAAATATCAGAAAAGAGCATTATGCATAGCTTTACCTAAGTGTCTACTCTCACCACAAACTAAATCTTCTATTGCAATTTGCTTACATTTACGATCATAATAATTTTTGTTATCGAAACAGACCAAATTAGGCTTGATGGTTAGCGTATCGGGTGTGCGACGAAAGTAAAAAATTCGCGTCGGAATGCTGTTGAATGTTTGTTTGTAATTAAGCACAAAGCTACACAGTGGGCATTCTGTGCTCTTCCCACCACGGGTATCGAAACCCGGATTCTAGCGTTGTAAGTCCGCAGACATACCGTTGTGCCACTGGGGGCACTGTTGAAAGAGCAATTTTTTATTCGGCTCAAAAATCTGAACAAAACCTTTGTACCGCAAATGCTTCTGGTTAGCTGCCTCATCTCTGGTCAGTAGTTTGAAATTAAGGAACGCCTATATCAAAAACCTGGGGCAGAGTGACTTAGTGACTTCGAGCTCTGAACTCATCATCAGATGGTTGCAAGTTTGAGGCTAGCCCATGTCCTTTAAGCAAGATACTTTACCACACTTGTTCCAGTCTACACAGCTATATGAGAGGGACTAGTTGTTATCTGGGGTTTAACTTACGATGGACTGGGGGAATGGATTACCATTTTCATCCGCTTTTGCCACTGAAAGCCGAAGTTCGAAAGCACTGGCTCAATATGTCTTGCAAGGGTACAACAGGTTTAACTATATCAAAGTGCTTGGGTTCTCCGATCACATGTGCGCACAATGTGCCGTTTAGGTTGTAAATTCTATTTTTTTTTTCAGAAAGTATTTAATATTTTGTTAATTGTTTATGTCAGTTCTATTTTCAAAATAATTTTTATGTTATTCGTATTTTTTTTTTACTAATGTTGCAAAGCAATAATATTTCATCTTATTACGGCAGGTCCTGTACCTTGGAAACATTGTCGATATATCTTGCCCTATATCCTATAATTTGAATGAACTTCTGACGTCAAAATAAAAATCCTCATATTAACAATCTTACATCTGTCAATGAATGACCAGGTGGTTAAGGAGCTTGACTTGCAGTGTGCGAGTCGCGGATTCGAATCCCCGTCCCACCAAACATGCTCGCCCTTTCAGCTGTGGGAGCGTTATAATGTTACAGTCAATCCGATTATTCGTTGCTAAAAGAGTAGCCCAAGAGTTGGCGGTGGGTGGTGATGACTAGCTGCCTTCCCTCTAGTCTTAC